AGTAGGCCCCCTAAGAACGACTTAATCGTTACTTTTGAACTTGCGAAACCGCATGCGCTTGGATTATAATGATTAATCGATGTAGGTTAAGGAAGTAGGTCGAACAATGTGACCTTAACGTCCGTGTTTTGCCGTTCGGAGGTCCGCAGGTGTGCAGCACCGGACTTCGAGCCAAATGCCGCTAATCACGTGACACACTGCTCTACCAGTATTGACCGTTACCAGTGCGAGCCAGAAGACAACAGTAAGTATGAAGTAGAAATTCAAAGTGGATGAAGTGATACTGGTGTGGTAAAAGAAGACTGGATGGATCCCTACCAGTGACGTCAAAATGCGACAGTTGATCAAGCGTCTCCCGAAGAGTAGGCCCTGGCAACAGTAGGCTACGTGGTAGCGTTGTAGGGTTTCAAATCAGTGCGGCCCAGGTAGGTATGAGGTTGAAATTCATAGTGGGTTAAAATGAAATGGTAAATTTATGGACGTCTGACGACTACAAACGCAAATGCACGAGCCTAGGTTGACCGTGCGAAGGTTGGACCTAAGGCTGGGGGTAGCAACCCATGCCACGCAAATGGGGCACATCTTCAACTTTGAGGCTTTTGAGATTGTGGGGCAGCGCGATGACCATATGGAAGACAAGTGCAAGAAGCCTGGATGTCCGCCGACTGCTTTGTTAATCGCCACATCAATTTTCCTCCCCCCTATCTGACTTTGCGAACCTTCTTAACAGGGGGACAGTCACTATGCGGAACAATTGGGGCCAACTATCTCCGCGGCCAGGAGGGTGGGGGCAATTCATGTCATGGCAACATGGGGGTCGGATGCACCCACACAGGCGCCAGTAGCGGGCCGCGAATCAAACAAAGTGCGCACATAAGAAGAGCTGTGCGCATGACTTCCCAGTCTCTGAACTACTCGAAACGTCGGAACTCTAATGAACCTCTCCTGGTGGTCGTCCCCTCTTCTTTTGATCAGAGGTGAGTGCTGGAGATTGGCTGACAAGGTTAAGTAAACGGTCTACGCGTGCCACGCACACGACCGGGTCCGTACTTAATGTACCAGATTGAGTGGTTGCGATCTCTCACGGATGAGAAGGGCCCCTTACAGCCTCACTCTCGGCCCGTCGGCTGGCAACCTTCTAGGCTACAACTCTTTGCGCTTCGTGGTAGATTCAACCGCGTCGGGTTTATTATAGTAAGGAATGTCCTGAACTACCATGAGGATGGATTCCAGGTAAGATCTTATTTCGTGGCCGCATCTGCTAGGGGTTAGGGATCAGGGGTTATGGTTAGCGGTTAGGGTTAGCGGTTAGTGTTAAGGGCTAGTGTGAGGGGTTAGGGTTAGCGGTTAGGGCTAGCGGTTAGCGTTAGAAGTTAGTTTTAAACCCCCTATTGCCACCGGTCCCGTATGACATGCGGCTGGCGCTTGTCTACTGCAGGTGCGGCTACGAAATAAGATCCGATCGGATTCCCCTGTGTCTGCCTCATTATATCTTTGTACTAATTTACTGCCCATGCCTTTCAGGCTGAGGGAGCCACACCAGTCACTCCTCATGTGCCAAACATGAGTCGCTAGTATACACGAAAGAACATGTTTCCCATCTGTGTTAAAGGTGCATGCGGTAACAATCGGGAGATGGCACCCAAAAAAATCCGTTACCTAGAAATAATACCTTTAACAGTGGACTCAAACGCCTTCAGGCTATATCAGCGGTTGCAGGCCCACTTTCACGCACTACTTGGACTTTCCCCGACGGCCTAACATGGGCTGGCCGAACGAACATCGCAGGAGGTTATATGGACGATGGTCGCTGTTACCCAACCTTCCACATCGTTACACACGTACACCTGAATATACGGCATGCATTCGCATTATGGCAGTTTATTACAAAACAAAATCACTTTTAAAAAGGATAAGTCTGCATAACATGGGGCAGGAACAGTTCCCGGGCATCTGTCAAAGACATGGCATTGAGGCCAAACCAAAGACGATACTGTATTTCGTTTATGTGAGCCTACACAGCTCGACCACATACAGGGCCTTCCTCGTGGAGTTTCCTTTTCAGTCTACTCCAGTATGCCTCAATGGCATTGGTGTGCCGTCCGGTGGTAGGGCCCTTGGAGTTCTTTGAGTGGTTAACAGAGAAATGCAGATAACCCTCTGAGGGAAGACGATTATACGCCACCCACTCGTCCGTTACCACTATACTGCCTTTGGCGACCCATTTTGTAATAACGGAACGAAGAGCGGGCCAACTTCGATCATTTATATGTTCAAATAAGGCTTTCCGTCGTTTAGTATCGTACATCGCGACCAGCCACCACCCATAAAACCCCGATTACCACCTGTCCCGTAAGACAGGCTGCTTTGGTTAGGCGGATTTTTTTGGGTGCCATCTCCCGATTGTTACCGCGCATGCTCCTCAACGCAGTGATTGGGTCTGATCTCACATACGCTGGCTATTGCATCAACCAAGACTGACCCGGATTGAAAACCTGAACCTACGCCGTGCAACCACATGTGCGGCATTCGTAACAGACTTGGGCAGACGTTGCACAACCAGAGTGACGCGTGCAGTGAGCCAACACAACTCCCGTTTTTGGTCTAGCACCTCTGAAGTGCAGGCCGTTATGGGAACAATTATTTCCTCCTACACTATTAGACACAACTAGCCTCGATCTAGCTCCGAAGTATATACAAAAGACTCTCACATTACATCCATGCTCAAAGCAGGATTACCATAATCGACCGAAGGGACTGGATAAAACAGTTCTGTCTCCTTTACTATAGTCAGAAAACCACCGCCTAAGAGGGCCATTCTCACCTGACGCTTATGGTTTTTATAAGCCACTATTTATTACTTAGACCGCTTTGAAATGCGCAGGTAACGCTTTTATTTTTTCATGGTTTCCTGCTATTCAGGCTGTTTTTTCCTTACCCCTAAGGACCGACATTCGGAATTCAACAAACCGCTATTAAGACACAAATTTAATTTTTTGTAACGGTGCACGCTGCAAAGCGTGACCTTCAATTCTGCGATTATTCACTCTGAAATCGGCTCCAGCAACCCCATATAAACACAACTGTACTCCAAAGTTTTTACCGTCAAGTAAACACTAAGGGTTAAGCTGTAGAGATCAGTGTTCAAACTTCAAAGGCATGCCGTTCACACTTAATAGAACTGATGGCATTAACCCCACCCCACCTCCCCATATCACCACCTTTAATGTCTGTTATTGTAAATAGACAGGAACGGTAATCTTTTGTCTGTCAAATCTGGGACGCAAATTCGCCATTAATCATGAACGCTGGAAAGCCTTTCATCGATATCACTGCGAAACAGGCGGATAACTTTCCAGTCGACGCAGTCGTCGACGCACTTCTGAATATCCTCTGATTGTAAGCGGTCCTCTCGGGCGAGAAGAGTGCCGTCCATCCGTAAGTACCGAATTTAAGTGCAGTAGGTGGGCTAACTCATGAAATCTCAATAGAAATTCCGAAATACGTTTTCGTTTCGAAAAGATTAATTAAGTAAGGTTGTAAAACCAATCACTATACAGCATAATACTATAATAATTCAGTTACCCCAGGACGCCGGCTTTCGAACAAACCTCTTTCCGGCTGCATCCCAAAACCATACTCCGTAAAAAATGACTACTTAAGTAGCATGCACTTTTTCGTTGATTTTCGATGTCCTTAAACATTTAATTTTAGTTCATGGAAAACATGCATAAAAATATTCATTCTTTGGTCAGTCAGTAGAAAATTACGTCTTCTTTCAATTTCATACCCGAAGGAAGAGTATAATTCGGGTATTGAAAGGTTTCTAATTGAGATTGTAAAATGGCCCTTCATAAAACGTCATGTCTCTGCATTTACCAATGTGGCTTGTAAAGTTAGCAATGTGGCTCAAATCCACTATTTAATTTTGTGGACCCCTTACAGTCTCCTCTTAATACCTTAGAGAAATGTATGGTTTTCCGTACACGGAAATTATACGGCTTGTAGTTTGGGAAACCTGAATGCAAGTGTAACGGCAGGTTGGGTTCAACATTATTTTGAAATTAAAAAAGTTTTATAAAACAAAATTATACTCTTCCTTCGAATATATAATTGATTCTAGGTCTATCGATCCAGTTTTTGGTAAACTGCTCCTCCTGATTCAGTTCATCGCTAAGACGATTTGACAACTGAAAACCTCGTGCAGCAGTTACTCATCGAAATTGCTTGCTCCATAGCAGGGTGAAAACAGGGACGGTGAGTTGTGCGTTAAGTAATTTATAGTGAAAGCCGACTTGCGCAGCATCTTTCGCGCTCTGTCCTTAGACTGCAGGCGCAAGAGGGCGCAGGTGACTGGCATGGCACAAACTCGCACCCTGGCGTGTGACACCATACCTGCCTGGATCTCGCTGACTGGGAGTGCAACTGCTCCGCGCACGATAGACCAGGATTTCACACAACAGGAAGACGGTCGGCTCCAATCCCAACGGAGTGGAAGTGTCATAAAGGCCACATTAAGTAGGAGCCATCGTAGTCTGACTGTCAGTTCATCAGTTAGCCACTGCACGAAAGCGCAATCTACGCTGACTGCGAGGCTCGAGTTACCCTGTCAGTTGGCAGCCTTCCAAGCCACGGCTTTTAGCGCACCATGAGAGCTTCAAGCGCGTCAGATTGTTTACAGGGAGGAAAGTGCGTTGGAACATCGACCTCCCTCTCCCTTCTCAATCCCAGACACGAGTCAACTGTTCGGACAACACAATTTAAAAAAAACATTAAGCGTCTACAGCGATCGCTTCCCAACTCTCTGAGCTGAAGTCATTGTAGATACTGCACCATACCGTCTACAACAATCGCTTCTGAACTCTATGAGATGAGGGCATTGTAGATAATGCACCAGACCATCTACAACAGACGACCCAACCTTTCACGATGAAACACCAAACCGAAATGAACGCGTCGGACTAAAACCAACTTAAATGAGTATAGCAGGCACTCTTTGTATGCCACAGATGCTTGAGGGCCTTCACCCGATTCTTACCCTTCTTCTTCTTCTTCTTCTTCTTCTTCTTCTTCTTCTTCCTCCTCCTCCTCCTCCTCCTCCTCCTCATCCTCCTCCTCCTCCTCCTTCTCTTCTTCTTCTTTTTCTTTTTCTTCTTCTTCTTCCTCTTCTTCTTTCTTTCTTCTTCTACCTCTTTTTCACCCTCTTCTTCATTTATTCCTTCCAGACTAGCGAAAGTTCCGAACTAATGCAGATAGAACCGTATGCCCGACCTCAAACTTCTCTCGAGTGGCTTGATGACTGACTTACGACATACACGCCTTCCAGGGTGTGTATGTGTGTGACCCCACAACGGCTTGCTTTGCAGATGTGTTGAACCAAAATGGGGGACAGATCGGCTCAAGGCATGCGTCAATCGGGATGTGCAGAGCTCGTGCGAGACCATAACCACAGACGAACACGGGGAAGGGTGTGGAGGGGTACGCCTGTGCGTGAGTCTTCCTTCATATCTACCATTGCGACCAATCCCAGCACCAGTTGGTTGACAGACTCGACCAGCCGGCTGGTCCAAGGTAGCGTGACACTGGGGACTCCATTCTCACGAGCCAGCAGCGTATTTCGCATTAAAATAAATATGACGCCTTTGAGTCTTCCAAAGGCCTTAAATAGCGTGGCTTGGAAGGCAAGTAGCTGACACAGTAACATCGTTCTCCCCTAGCCTGAGAGTCCGGCTACAGTGGTTCCTCGGTATGACAGTTCGGCTGAGGATGTCCACCGAGTGTCCAAAAAGGGCAACAGCGAGGACTGTGACTTGCGCGAGTACTAGTTTGTGGTGATAACAAACTTGCGCAGCATCTACTAAACTCCCTCCTCCTTATGGGCCCGGTGTCATGAGGACACATGTGGCTGGCGTGGCCGGCGCCGCCCCTAGGCGTGCCGCCACACCTGGCTTGCATTCCACGGAGCGGGAGTCCCATAGAGGTCACATTAAGAGGGAGCCAAAACCGCCCGTCTTCGAGTCCGACAGTTCGTCACTCCATACAAACACACGCTGGGCTAATTAAGAGGTCCGATTTATCCCGTCAGTTGGCAATCTTCCAAGCCAAGATTGCACCGTAATAGCTCAAGTCCGTAAGATTGTTTGTGGTGAGGAAATAGCGCTGAGATGTCGACTTCACACTCCCTTTCAACTCCCATGCACCAGACTACTGTCCGAGCCGCTCAGGTGCCTGATACCGGAAGTGGGCGCAGTGGTTGACAGAGCTGCAAAGCCCGTCTGTGCGCGCCATGTGCAGGATCTGGTTCCCCAAATGGGCACACAAGGATTTCACACTATGCGGCGGGGGTGGGGGGGGGGCGCGGATCTCACATGTAGCGGAGAAGTCAAGTGGGGGAAAGAATCAAAAAGCCCCTTTCCTTTACGTGAGAACTGCCGGCGATGTGGGATATTTGAGGGGTTTATGCGTGGTGTTCGTGTTGATGGGGGAATGTGTGGTGATGTGGTTATGTCTACAGTGATTTACTGCAAGTTTCCATCGAGGCGCATATGACTGAATGGGCCCATGCAATGGCTGAACGTGCGAAGGCAATGCTGCCAGCTGAGGCGATGGTGTCGGATACATGTTGGTGCTCCAGGCACAAGTTTGCTAGTCTCTGTATGACGGATCCGCAGGTGGCCAACCACGCCGACGCGCGAGACGAATGTGCGGTGACGTTGTGGGCATAAGAGGTTGGGAGATACTAAGTCGGTTAGCTTTGCGGTGCTGCTAGTGGTGGGCTTGATAGTCGATGTGGAGACAATTGGGCTGGGGATGGGGGGGGGGATGGTTGATGTGCAAGGTGTGTTAGCTGTGTGGATGCTGCGGCGAATTCCGCTGTTGTGGACACGCATGTGATCGAATAGACCCTCGCGGTGGATGGATGTGTGTTGACAGGGCGACAGTTAAGGCGGATGTGACGTGCGTCCGTGGGGGCCTGACAGCCGTGCGTCGGTCGCAGTGCAATGGATTCGCAAGTGGCCAATCAGGCTGATGCGTGAGAAGAATGCGCGATCGCACTGAGGACAGGTTCGGACCGAGTGCCTGTCCAAAGATGAAGTGGTTGACAGGACAAAGGTTCCCAAACCGGAAGTCAGGGAAGAGGGATCGGGTTTGACAACCTTTAATACTGAGGAAGTGCGTACATTAGGCTCTGCAAGCGGTCTCTCCAGGCAAGTTGTGTCGTCTGCGCCCCTCCTCGAGGTTATTAGCCCCCAGTGCATGTGTGAGCCTTTCGCTCAGCCTCAGTGGTCGCCAGCCAATCAGAAAATGGGCAGCGTTAATTAGCCTCGAGCATTCGCGAGGCTAGTGACAAGTCTCGCGGCGCGATCCCAGTAGCGAATCGACAGGGAGCGTGAGGCGGAAACAAGGACAGCATGACTAAACGGCGGAGAGCAGGAAAGCGCGAACTGCTACATCCTCACAGCTAGAGAGAGAGAGAGAGGTGGTAATGGTGAGGCTGGGGAGCTATCGAGAGAGTTTTGCTCGGCGGCCGGAGTAGGAGCTGTGGTGGATGCCGTCGTTGCCGAAGAGGTTGTGGCAGAGATGGCGGTGAATGACGGCGAAGGGGCACGGGGGGAATTTTGGGTCATTAGTGGTGAGAATGTTCGTCGCCGTGGACGCCGTGGGGCAATGAAGTGCCTCACAGAGTCGCGCATCTTCCTCTGCCCCCCGCGAAGTTCTTATTGGTTCTCAGTTCGTTTTTTGATTGGCTGGGATCTGTCGGCTGATTGGTTGGAGTCAGGCTGTAGCGATCGAGTGAGGGACGAATGTCAGATCACAGGTTACGAAGGAAGAGGATGACGATAGCTTGAACTCAAATGGTCGAGTCGATTGTAAGATTCGTTCTAAAAGGCCTTGCATCTCAGAGTGGGCTGGATCAGGATGAAGAGGCACACGGGACATGGGATAGGCAGCACAGGTGATAAAAAGATACAAGTTTGTTCGAGCATACGAAATGGAACACTAATAAACGGGGCTACGGAAAAACGAAAAATACAATGGAACGACTCATCGGGATGGGTCGGAGGTTATTCGTCGGCACTTGGCTTCGGGAGCGTAGCTCCTGCAAGGAAAACGGAAGAAGAATGCCTCTAGCGTGACAGTTCATTAATACACTCAAGGTTAGGTCCCTGGTCAGATCTCCGGCTATTACATGGCTCCCCCCTAAGGTGGATCACTGTCCTCAGTGCTGAGATCGACGATGGGTGAAGGGACGGTGACCTCAATGGTGACCGGGGGGACCTGTCTGGCAGGGAGGATGGGTAAATAGTCGGGGAGCAGGTTGGCAGGCGATCTCCGCAAGGTTTAAGCTTATCGAAGTGTTCGGTGAAGGGGCGAGCGTGAGAGTGGGTTCGGAAACGATAATAGCGTTAACTGCCGCGTCGTGAGGTTCGCCTGCCGGGTTGGTTAGATAGACAGAAGATTTTTATGAAAGACCCGTCGGGGTCCCGTCAAAGCGGGAAGGCGTGAAAGTGCGTCCGCGGCTTGCTGTGCTGACTCCTAAGTCACTGAAGTCAGTTTTGCCTTCTACCCGCGTTTGCATCACTTCTGATTCCTAGTACTATTTGCCTGCCTCTGGCCACGGCATTTTCTCCCTTTTCTTACCCTTGGCTTTACTGTTTTCTCGCGAGTTCTTCTGTTGCGGCGCCCTATTTTGCCATGTCTTTCAGTATCCTGGATTTCCCTTTTGTTTTACTGCGCCTTCGGTATGCCTAACTTTTTTGTGTTTCGGTTGTGTCTCTTGGGGTGTTGCGGTACGTGCGATCCGCGACTCTGATTTTTAGTCGAAGCCTGCCGTGGGGGTCAGAGCAGGAGTAGTCGTGCAGGCAGCACGTGCGGCTGCTCGGCTGTCGGTACATTGGGTCGGGAGGTGTCTGACGAGGCTGATCTGTGCACGGAATGTTCGTTGACAGAGCGGGCTTGTTGGGAGTTAGGTGTGCAGGTCAGAGGCGCCTGTGACTTGCAAGCTTCCCTTTTGGCTTTGGCAGGGCGAGCCGGTCAGCCGCATAGATTGCTGTTCCGATCTTCACCGATCGGTCCTGTGCGGGGTTTTCCCAGGTCTTCGGGTTGATTTGTAATCACTTCAAGGGATTTTTCCAGGTGTTCTTGTAGCGGCGAGTATGATCTCCTTGTCAGCAAGCGTCCGTGGCGACATCTCCTTAGAAGGGCCCTTTTGTCGGTCGCTTATCGTCCATCCTCATGAGACGGCTGCTCCATCAGAGTTGCAGTTGCCTCTGAATGACGTAGATGCTGAGGATTCCCGTTGGCTGCAAAAACTTTGTGTCTGGGATCCTGTCCTGCCACCCCCAGCTTTCGTATCCTGTACAACCACCGTCCTGTCCGTTTTGATGGCCGGTCTGGAGTTGCACACAGACCGGACGCAACCATCAGGCGTCAGGTAATGAAACTGAAAGACCTACTGCCACGGCAAGAAACGTCTGGAGTCGTTTATCGGAGCTGGTGCAGTTGCGGCCAAAGCAACTACTTCGGAGAAACCGAAAGACAGTACCGAACGCGAATGGCCAAACACGTTGCAGCGGTGCGGAGAAATGACGCCAGCTCTCAAGTTGTGGCTCATTCGGCGAGGTCGAAATTCTCGCTAGAGGTGACAACCTCGTGAGCCGGGAGCTACTTAAATAATAATTTACTGGCCCCCAGTCCATTAACAAGTGCAATGGCTCTCCCCTTCTATACTCGGTGCTGAGACGGCTAGATAGCAGTAGGTAGCCAGGTCCCCTATTACAGATGACTGGGGTTTGTTTACTGGGGCATTCTGTGGGGCTACATAATCACATCTGACCGGTTTCCGATTTTTGGGTTAGGGTTATGCCCTTTAGGCTTAGGGTTTTCTGGTTACGGTTAGGGTTTGAGTTTACGATTAGGGTTCAGTATTACGGTATGGTTTTACAGTTAGGACTATGTCAAAGGGCTACGGTTACGTTTGCGATTTCGGTTAGGGTTAGGATTAAGGTTACCTTCAGGGTTAACGGTTAACGTTTAAGTTTAAGGCTAGGCTTAGGGTTTAGGTTAGGATTCGGGTTAAGGTCGCCGTCCGCTTCTGCAGTCCTGGCTACCAGCTGCGATCTAGCCGCTGAGACTTCGCCTAGGCGGAGTAATTAGCCACAGGGGAGCTCGCAAGTGAACACTTTTCCTAACTCCGGGGCGGTCGGTCAGATGGTCGAGCAATCATCACACCAACATCCAACGCACGTGATGAAATTGCAGTTATTGACGCGAATGCCGGCCAGCAAACAGTTAGCACACC